AGGGACATCATGGGGTGTCCCTGTGCCCCTTTGGGGTGTCCCCATCCCTAAGGACCCTCATTTGGGGGTGTCCCTTCCTCACAAGCATCACCCAGCGGTGTCCCCATCCCCAGGAGTGTTATTTGGGGGTGTCCCTGTGCCCTTTTAGGGTGTCCCCATCCCCAGGAGCATCACTTGGGGGCGTCCCTGTGCCCAGGAGGGACATCCGGAGGTGTCCACCTACCTGATTTGGGTGCCCCCATCCCAGAAATGTCACTTGGGGGTGTCCTTGTTCCCATTTCAGGCCGTCCCTGGCCCCAGGAACATCGCTTGGGGGCGTCCCTGTGTCCTTTTGGGGTCTCCTCATCCCCAGGAGCATCATTTGGGGGCGTCCCTGTGCCCAGGAGGGACATCTGGGGGCGTTTCTGTGCCCTTTGGGGTGTCCCCATCCCTAAGAACCATCACCTGGGGGCATCCCTGTGTCTTTTTAGGGTCTCCTCATCCCCAGGAGCATCACTTGGGGGCGTCCCTGTGCCCTTTTGGGGTGTCCCCATCCCCAGGAGCGTCATTTGGGGTCTCCCTGTACCCAGGAGGGACATCCGGAGGTGTCGACCTACCCAATTTGGGTGCCCCCATCCCAGAAGTGTCACTTGGGGGTGTCCTTGTTCCCATTTCGGGCCATCCCTGGCCCCAGGAGCATCGCTTGGGGACGTCCCTGTGTCCTTTTGGGGTGTCCCCATCCCTAAGGACCCTCATTTCAGGGTGTCCCTTCCCCATGAGCATCACCCAGCGGTGTCCCCATCCCCAGGAGCATCACTTGGGGGCGTCCCTGTGCCCAGGAGGGACATCAGGAGGTGCCCAGGTGGCCCTTCAGGGCTGTCCCCGTCCCCAGGACGTCACACAGGGCTGCCCCCCATCCCCTGGACGGTTACCTGGATGTCCCTGTCCCCATCCCGGGGTCGTCTGGGTGTCCATCCATGGGTCTGAACCCACACCGTGCCCTACAGGAGCTGTCTGGATTCACCCTGGACCACGTGGCTTTCGAGGACGGGAAGGGCAAATGTCCCTACGACCCCACCAAGGGCCACACCGGCCTCATTGTAGGTAGGTGACACCGCCGTCCCCCGGGTGGCATCGGGGCCGGGCAGCCCGACCCTCCGGCTGCCCCTGACGGCCCCATGGCGGCCCTGCAGATGGAGAGCTGTACTCTGCCACCTTCAACAACTTCCTGGGCACGGAGCCCGTCATCCTGCGGAACCTGGGGCCGCACTACTCCATGAAGACCGAGTACCTGACCTCGTGGCTGAACGGTGCGGGGGGGGGGGCACGGGGGTGGGGGGCACAGGGATGTGGGGATGTGGGCATGGGGATGTGGGGCTGTGGGGATATGGGGATGTGGGCACCGGTGAAGGGGGCAGAGTACCG